TATATATATATATCATATTACTTGTTTGTTGTTCGCTGAATCAATCACGTGTCCTTTTCTTAGGTCTGTCGAAAACTCAGAGCTTTTAAATTCTAAAATAAGACTCAGACCACTGGCCTCGAAAACACAGACCTCGTGACTTATAAAGCTCGTACGTTTCGGCGTGACATTCGGACCTTCGTCAAGCAAGATTTTTAAATTGAAAATAAAATAACACTTTTCCAATTTGTATCCCCCTAATTCTAGCGTTTCGAGGTCTGCGTTTTCGACACACCTTCCTTTTCTAAGCATTCCGATTAATAATAATAATAATAATAATAATAATAATAACAATAATATTATAATAATTAACATTTATATAGCGCCATTTCCAGAAGCTCATAGCGATTATACCCACATTATGTATTTCCCAAAGTTGGCCAAGGAAGTTGTTTGTTTTATATCTAGTTCTTGATTTTGCCAAACAAGTGTTTTTCAGTTGTTGTTGTTCAGAAAATCTAGAATTGTAGTTCCTCCTTTTCAATGATAGGCAATTTATTATCGAGCTTTCAGGCATTAGCGCCAATCTTCAAAAATTACAATGGTATTCTTCCTCATATCATCTGTTACTACCCGGTTACTCGAAATCCGATTTTTTAAATCAACAAAACGGAATCTCAGCTAAGAGCAAATCTATAGACAAAGATTAGTTCTGCAATGTCATGCTCGTATTAATGTTTAAAAAGCTCAAAACAAAAGAAAATCGAATGCACTCGGTGTTAGAATAGCTAAGCGTAGTAGAGCGAATAACAATTTGTGAAATATAGTTTTTACCTGACACTAAGTTTTGGTAAGATTCCTGGCATGGCTGGATACCACCGACAATTTTTATGGTGCTTTGTTTTTTGTTTTTACAGTACTAGCTATTACAGTTTTTAAAAACTGTGGTCTTTGAGTGAATGACTTAAAAGCCTCACAACAAATAAATAAATACGGTATGAGGTTACTATTACATAAGCGGCAAGGCTTTTGATAGTATGTACAGTGAGACCGGTCACGTTGTCTGATGTGTTATGTAATAATTGTCAGCACGAGCACCCAAGCATGTGACAATGGATGTTTTTTTTTCTCCATCCAGCACCCGGTAGCCTGCGCGCAGCCGACCTCTAACTCTAAGGGACGGACCATTAGATAGTTGATGGGAGGGTGGGTGGGTGGGGGGGGAAATCCCTCCAAAAATATCGAGCAAGCACTTAAACCTCAAAAAAAAAAAAAAAAAAAAAAAAAAAAAAAAAAAAAAAAAAAAAAAAAAAAAAAATCGTGCAACTTCTCCTGCTAGAAGAAAAATATCCAACTGTACGCAAAAAAATAACGTGCAAGGGTTGAGCCAAAGAAATAAATATCATGCAACCAAAATTCCTGCATTCCCCCATCAATTATCTAATGGTCCATCCCTAAGAAGATTTTGCGTCCAAAAAGAGGTTATAAGATACATACACGTGATGGCGAATGCAAGTGGTAACACGTTTTCGTATCATGTTACTTTAGTAATAGATCCTGCTGGATCCATCTCGCATCGGTACATCCCGTGATGTAGCTCCTTGATGATAGACCATTTCACAGATCCCGCGGTTCAACCTCAGCCTCGTCAGCGTGTAATATATTCTTTAGAAATTGCCTACAACCTGTGAAATTTTTGTTTCAATTGTTCGTTGATGTGTAAATTCCTTTCATTACTGCGGACTGTAGTCAAATTCTAAAGAACAATTACACGCTGACGAGGCCGAGGTTGAGTAACGGGATCCGTGAAATGGCCTATTGTTCTAAATCATGCGCAATTCGATTTCGTTCGAAAATGCCAATAAGTGGGAACGAAATGTTAAATACACGGTTTAAAAACTAAGAATACGTAAAAGTCAACTTTGTTACAGCATCTATGAATTGTAAATAAAACCACTACAAATAAGCTCTGGAAAACGGTTAAATAAATTGCATGCGTAGTGCCCAATGGGTCGTGGGAGAAGAGAAGTGAGCTACTGACCCCTCGCTGGCCAGTAGCTATGCAAGCTACACTTGTGCCTCCTTCCACCGGATCGAGAAAGAAGACAACTGATTATATTGACACATAACATGGTCGATCAAATATCTCTCATCGTCTGGCAGAGCAACCTCCGCGGTTATTATCAGTCGCCATTAAAAAATGGCTGAACAAACATTCATATGACAGCAGAAACATTAAAAAAAAACCAGTCACAGTTTGAGAACTTAAGTCTGTTTGACAGAGCTGTCACAGACATTCAAACTGAGGGAGGACTCGAACACTTGAGCTCCTTGCTTGGATTAACATAAAAGTAATCTGTCAGATCCATCAATCACCATTAGATCAAATTTAATGTTTGGATATTGATGCTGTATTTCGTGATTTCAGCGCGGAAATTATGTGACACAAATGAACTAAAAAGTGATTACTATCAAGTGTATTTAAACTAGTTTAGTCTCGTATACACTTAACTGAAGAATCGTTGTCGGGTTCAGAAACATAGAACATAGAAGCTGAGACCGAAATGGCACATGGGAAGTACGTTAACTAGATGCATGCTGTGACCGGCGACCCGTGGCATCATCCTCTGTTTTTAATACGCGTTAGGCATTCTAAACCGACTGCATGGATGGCGCAAATGAATAGATTATAATATAATTATGTCATTTCCCATGTGCCAATCGGTCTCAGCTTTCATATTCTGTTTCTGAACCCGACAACGATTCTTCAAATGAGTGTATATGTAATAGGGCTAGTATGCTTAAAGCTCAGTAATCCGGGATAACATGTCCCAAACCATGTATAACTTCATTGAGGAAGTTGATCGACGCATAGCGTGACTCACTCCATCTTCGAATTCCGACACCAAGTATTAAACGAAAATGCCGGTTTAACTTAACCAGATTAAATAGCTACTGTTAAATAATAGCAAGAACTGTATTAAGGTTGGCTACAGGGTATATTCTTAAATGACGTCATTCTTACAAATCGTATATTTATTTATCTGTATCCCTATAAGTTCTTGATCATCTTAGTATCTGAAGCAACTGTGATATCATTAGCAACCGATAGATTTTCGATTGCCAACTGATGCTTTCAGATTAAATAATTATGTGCATTGAATCAACCGGGTGAGTTTACCTGAGAGAAGAAAGGATAGGAAGTGAAAGTCTTCGTGCATGGCGGGTTCTTGGTACAGAAATATGTTCAAGCTCTTGAAGGCTTAATCGCTTTAGACTCGTCATCGCTTGGGGTATCGACTGAATCTCAGATTCCTCAACCATAGCTTTACCGAAAATTCTACCCTATTTAACCAGTTCAGCGGAGACGAATATAGCCAGCTACTTGTAGAAAGAGTCGACAGGTATGCCCAGAAAATTGTGGAGTAATGGCTTTACAAACGATCGGAAACAGAATATAATTTATTATAGACAGTGTCAATGTCCCAATCCCCGACCTTTCAGTAAACAATGAGGGGGTCTCGTGACCGAATTTGAAACCTTACTTAAAGAAGAAGAAAAAGAAGAAGAAAAAGAAGAAGAAAAAGAAGAAGAAAAAGAAGAAGAAAAAGAAGAAGAAAAAGAAGAAGAAGAAAAAAAACTTAAAATTCCCCTTACAATTGCATAGTCTTACAATTTTTAAGTATCTAAAGATAAATGTAACATTAAGATGCACTGATTTTATTTCCTGCCCATTCCTTGGAATAATCTAAACTAAATAACTAATGAACAAGGGCCATTAACTACACGCACTTGAGAAATTTTTAAGATGGTCCATTAAATAAAAAAATTGACCAAAATAGTAACAGTTCCAATATGACACAAAGTTCAGTGGACTATAAAGGAAGAACAAACGGATCTGCCTAAAGTTAAGCAGACTTTATTATGAAACTAAATCCTTATTTAAGCTTGAAAAGCTTTTTTGTTTGGCCGAACGAAAGTCGCGTACGTTGCGAGGCGCGTGATGTTTTCGTTGTCGTTTTCTAGTGGGCTTCACGTGAGGGCTCCATAGTCACGGGATGTTACCTGTACTAGTCCTGACTTCGCACACTTAAAAGCCAATATGATATTAAGCATTTATCAATTTTAGATATTTTATTTCGCTCAAATCAAAACTGACTTTAAGAGTAAAAAATTGATTAGGTCATTTGACATTTTCTTCAGAAAAAGTTGTCAACTGGTTACAAAAAGGGAAAAAAGTTTAATAAAATAAAATTGAATATTCCCGCGTACAACCCCATTTAAATTACAACCTGTTTTTGAAGCATAGATCTATGAAAGCGCAAAACACAGATGTTACCGAATAATTTACTATTTTAAGGATCTGATGTAGTTTTGTTCAATAGTCGCGTTAAGCTTGTTTCAGCCAGGGAACATGAAACATTCGTATCCGATGAAGCAGGCATACAGCTGTAAGACCTGTAGTAACATCATCACTGTAAGCAGAATACTTGGCTTTGTTGTCTTTAATAAGCTACACAGAAACAAAACGATACAAGAAATCCACAGTATATATCGAATTTAATGTCAAAGACAACTGGTAAAAGCGGCGATACCTAATCTTGATTTACAATATCCTCTTGGCATGGTTTAGTAGTACACGTCACACCATGCAAAAACATCACGTACATGTACAGCGTCATGTTGTAAACACTCTTGAAAGTCGTCACGTACCGGAAAATATAGCACGGGATGTGTTTAGTTGCTGTTGTTGTAGGGGGTACTACATGTTGGAATTTGTTGGTCAAGAAGTGAGGATAAAAATGAAAGTATTTTTGTGGACTTAAATAAACAAATAAATAGATAGAGTGCACGCACTAAACCCATGAATAATATTTAGTACTAATTAGTAGTATTTCATACAGAATCCTTTGTTTCCTATTGTTTGATTATCACTATTTAGTACTAAAAATTAGTATTGGTTTCACGGGTTTAGTGCGAGCACTCTAATGTTTGCAGGCTACTAACGAGAGTCACCAAGCATGTGGTGCCTTCTCACATATATTTCTTAGCAAAAATGCTTAGTTTCAAATATTCATATCTTGGTCAGTTAAAGGTCAATGTTTATGAAACTGCATTTTTACTGTTATAAGTAAACTTCTTTTTCTGATAAATCAAATACAGTAAAAACCCGCAAAAAAAAAAACCTATAACATGTTCGTACTCGTGTTTGTTAAAGCCTCATATTTTTCCCACAAGAACCTGTCTCATTTTTTGGTGCTTTATTGGCTAAATTTCAGCCTGGGGTTCTTAATATAATCCATTGGTTCTTTTATGCGGGTTTCTACTGTATCTTGTTTGGTACCTTGTAACGTCACCCTAGCGTGATATAGTTGTATAAATACGTTTTATGATCCTTTATAAGCTATTGCTTTCAACTATTTTATGGAAGGTTGCTTTTATTACCAACTTTTCTTTTCTTTTGATACTTAATCTATTTTCTCGCGGAAATGTTAAAATATTAGAAACAATGGAAAACAATGTCAGCATAGTTAATAGATGTAATATATTATATATCTTATAGAGTGATTTTATTCAACCCGTGAGAGAAAAAAAGACTATTTAGTTAATTAGTACTCGTTTATAATAAAAAATAAAAGTAAAGGAATAAAAAAAAAAAAAAAAAAAAAAAAAAAAAAAATAAAAAAAAAATTTTATTTTTAAAAAAGAAAATAAACAATTTTTTAAATTTTCATTTGAAAAAAAAAAAAAAAAAAAAAGCAATGGTTTTAGAGTCTACTACTAACTATTATGCGTACTACTTTTTCACGGGTCTAATATTAAACATGTCACTACGACCTCTAAACTATAATCTACATGACTTCATCCAAAATACTATTTTCCTATCAATACAAGATGTTTTTTTTGGGCAGTCAGGGTGCTGTTCAAAAAATTGAATTCTACTGCAAAACGAAACAAAACTTCAAGTTCATATCAGTAAATCGAGTCTTGCTTTCTTATTGAAGTCATTGTTTGAGTCACGACATTTTAGCAAATACCTCAAGCGATAATATTAACGAAACTATCATCAATAACCAAAACTCTGAATACAATTACATAAGAATCTAACGTTTTTTTAGGATTTAACTATTGTACACACTACGAGGAACTAAATGACGAAGCAGAAAAAGATATATTTTGCCTTGCAAAATTTTTCCAAAAGTTTTTTAAGTGTTCAACTAGAGACATCTTCGCATTAATTCCAATAGAATGAACCACCATCTTTTCGAGTTTTTATGAGAGATGAGAGAGCAGCTTGCTTGTTATTACTTTATTATATAGCAGATTATATATTCTGCTTCCTATAAGCTCCGATTGGCATCCTTTTTAGGCAATATTCCGTCTATTTTCGGAAACGGGCAAATATCCCTTACCCCAAAAATGTTTAAAATACAACTAAGATATAATGGAGAACACCATTTTTTAAAATCAATATTACCTAAAATTTAAATTTAAACAAAACATTTGAATGCTCTGGATCTTTATTTATCTTAATAAAAATATTAATAGGGATTCAAATTTAGCAATGAAAAATAGTCACTAATGGTTAAGAGAAATTGCAATATCAAATATGACAATAATTTGACATTAACAAATCTGAATAAGAATAGACGCCATAAATCATTGCATTTCATTCTGAGCCATTTTCAAAATATCTATAGTTTAGTATATATAATACTAAATAATAATAATATATTTATAATACCTATATATTATCAATCTATTTCATTTTAGTTTTAGGTAGTGTCCTCAAATTAGTTTTTTAAACTAAATCCATTTACACTTTCAATAAAGTTATCATCATCATCATTATAATCATCATTATCAATAAAAATAATGGATGGTGTAGCTGTGAATCAGCACCTGCCTCTCACCAATGCAGCTAGTATTCAATCCCTGGACTACTATATGTGAGTAGAGTTGTTTGTTGGTTCTCTCCTGTGTTTCAAGGGTTTTTCTACAGGTTCTCTGGTTTTTTTCCTCCGCAAAAATCAACTTTTAAATTTCAATAGAGGTTTTACAGCATAACATGCCCATGCCCATACTATAGCTCCGGCTGCCTGTGGTTAGATGGCAGAAAAAATAAAATGCCTTTGCTCTCGGGAATTGAATTCTTTCTCAAGTAAACGATTGTTTTGTCACTGCCATCTAACATGGCTGCTGTCACGTGTTAGTGCAAAACCTCTATTGGAATTTCAGTGGATGAAGAGCCACTCTGTGGAAATGCCACTGCTAAATCCTATTAATCCCATTTATTATTTATCTATATATTTATACATTGTAAAACTATAGACCATTTCCAAATTCCAAATTAACACTGTGTTCCTTGATTGTAGACTCTTTTACCCAGGCTTAGCCTTGTATCAGTGTCTAAATATTCACAAATACCAACGGTAAAGTAAAGAATGCATAACTTCGAAACTACAAACACTTTGAAATTGCACGGACCTTCCCTGGATCACATGACTATTCTACACAAAATCGATACTAATCCTAATAAGCAACAGAGAACATGAAACTGGAGTATTCAATCTAGAAGAGCTTATACACTAAGTAAATTACTTTGTGCAATAATAATTATTATTCTAGTGACTCTAGTTTTTGTGTGTGTGTGTCAGTCTCGTACTCAGAGCCTGCGTTTCTTCTGGTCTGCATCGAAGAACTAGGGCTCTGGCATAATCCATCTTTTGAGACCAGGATTTCTTGGACTTCCGGTTCAAGAGCGCAAGCATTCAAAGACTTGCCATGTTTACTTTCATTTTTACTTCAATTTTTGCTTTGATTTAATTTTTAATTTGATTATTTTGATTGGATATATATCTCTTTTTCGAAAATTGCGTATGCGCCAAAAAAATGGATTATGCCAGAGCCCTTGTTCTTCCCTGCAGGCCAGAAGAAACATGGGCTCTGGGTACGAGATTGTGTGTGTGTGTGACATGTATAGTTTTTTTCCTAGTATGTATTTACAATCAGACCCATAATCCTAATGGTCTACAGGTCATATAAACAGTTTGAAATTAAGTTGGAATAATTGGTCAGTTTAAAAAACAAGCAAGGGCCTAGGATGAGTTTCAAATTTCAAATAATTTGGTAATTGACAAAATAATTGTCATTTGAGAATTAAGGTTATAGCAACTGTTTCTTTTTAAAAAATTATGATCATGAGACTGCACATCCTTCGTGCAGCTTATGTTTTCAATATATAATTTTGGAAGCATCTTAAATTTTTAACTTGTGGATATGTGAATAGTAGAAGTGAGTTATTGTGAGGGGTCTGAGCAAATGTGTCACTCGCTCACTCACTAAGATGTTAGCAGTATAAACACTTACAAACTTCCATTAAAAGGTGGACAAGGAATTTATACAAGAAGCTGGACTGCTATTTATCCATGTGGGATGTTGTCTAGCACCAGGGCAGGCTGGCACTGAGCATACTCACACTCAGACAAACATAGCTTTACCTTCAGATTATTTATATTGAAAGAATCAAGAAAAGATAAATGCACGTTGCATTAGTTTAAATAAAACAAAAATAGGCTAATAAACTAGAGAAGAATGAGTATAAATGAACATAACTGAGAAGCACAAAAATGATTGATTAAATATCTTTATAATGAAAATGAAATAAAAATATTTTCAAACACAATTCAATAGAATTTCTAGGATTTAAGAGTGTATTAGTCTTATCAAACAGACTTTAAAAACTAAGACAAGTCGAATAAAATTTCTAAACGAATATCCCCGACCTTATTTCACAATGTAATCTAAGTAAATAATTTGTCAGATGCACCATGAAGGTCAAGATATGACGTACATTTAATATGCATAATGCAATGCTCTTGTTATAATTGCAATTATTAATATTCCCTATAAAGAGCTAAAGGCTTCTAAATGATAATGATAATGTGATCAAGTCTTACAGTATACCACAGTGTGCAGGGTTTAGTGTATTGCTTATTGTATTACCAAATTAATATTATAATAAAAGCTTGACACCAAATTTGGTTGTGACTGTACCACTAGTTACCATGTGATTCCCCATGCAGTCAGAATGTCTTTTGGTCTCATCATCTAAATCTCTGTTATGAACCACACAATGATTTTGCAATTAATTAAGCATATAGAGCTGGACAATGATTGGTTGTATCATCATGTACATGAATTGTCAGGGGAATTCTATTCAAATTCAAATTTCAAGTAATCGACTTTATTAGTAGTCGTACCCTACGATAGCATAAATTAAACTATAATAAATGTTTATGTGCACATGCTGATGATACATCGTTTAAATATGGCTAAAAAATGAGACCACCCAACCGAATTTGCTTCATGGTCTAGTGGTTAGGTTTAGGGTTAGGGTTGGGGTTGGCATTGTAGTAGTTCATTATTGGTGCCGAAGGTACCAAGTTTGATTCTTGGTGTATCGCTTAATTTTTTTTTCTAAGTGAGGAGAACCAAAATTCCTAAGTTCCACTCGTGTTTTCGGAAACCTATGACATACTTCTTTAATCCGTACCCGATGATAGTACCCAATGATCAAGTGAAATATAAGGAATACATGATCACAGTCTTAACCAATCAGGATTTAATGCTGCTAGTGCAACAGGAAACTTAATTGACATGACTTTTGAAGGGTTAATAAGAAGTCCCTCATTTTCCCTTTGTCCAATCTTTTATCCCACTACAGGCCTTAATTAATTACTATCTTTGGCCTAGCTACTGCAGATAAAACACTTGCTATAAATCCTCTATAGGAACAATAATATGGGAAATAGAGGACCCTATTTGCAGTCTACAGTTGTGTAATGTGTTCTTATTTGCAAGCCCTGTGATTTTATTTGGTCTTGGCCTATCAAAGTTTTCGGTTTCGTCTCGATTGAAAGTAAAACCTTACCAAGATACAAAAGTAGCATCTTGCTTAATTAAAGTCGTACATTTTTAGAACATAATAAACTCTAAAATATAAGATTTTTAATGGTAACCAGGAAGCGAAACCAAGAGACTTCCAGGTTCATGCAAGCATAAAAAGCTTTTTTTCCTAATTCTGGAGGACTCGATGGAGTTATTATTCATCATATTGTTAGTCATCTGCAAACAATAGAAGGTGACGCAACAGTACTTCACAATATTTCGTGACTAGCTACTACAAATTATGTTAGAAGTAAAAGAGTACATTAATTTCTTTTCGCAATACGAAAACACGATACGAATGACGAATGACAGCTGTCGCGCGATCGAGCAGCCATGGCACAAGCTAAAGTTTGAATTAATTTATAACTTTTAAACTTGAATGTAAAACTGAAGCTAATCTAGAAAACCTTTTCGAAGATCTATTTCGTTTTATTTAGACTAGTACATACCAGTACGACCTTGCAAGCCTTTGATCAAGAGTATCTGGGTTGCTTATGTAGTCTAATTCTTCAAAACCACTGTCGACGCTGTCAACGATCTTTTGATCCGCCTCATCTAAATCAGCTCTGCTCACAGCAATCCATGCCATGATTTCTATCTGATTACGGCCTAAAGAATGGATGCTTTAATGCCTTASCTTAAACTAAGTCGTTGGTAGAACTATGCAGTTAAGGAAGATCAAACTTTGGACAAATTTTTTACGGAGACTTGCGAAAGCGTTATGACAACTCCGTATTACATTACTATACCATCGCCTGACGTGGAGGCAGTCACGTTTACGACGTCATCAGTAGCATTAGATCATGAGGAGCTATGAGATCATCTCTCTATCAGTATTATAGATGTATGCAGTGAGGCAATATATATACGATAGACGTATGTAGACTGTGTATCTTAATATTAAATGAGACAATATATATAGCCGATCGATTCATAAAAATATAATTGAGTATAACAGGTATYTACCGACTTACACATATAACGCATATGATAAATCTGTTAATACAAGACAATATAGCCTCCTTCGCAGCCTTTCTTAGGGAAACGTTGCGTGACGACCCTAAGAACGGCTGCAAAGGAGGCTAAAGACAATAGGGATGAAAGCAAAACAAAAAGAAAATGAAAAGAATGCGAATAAACAATTTGACGTTCTGGTCGTAGTTCATTTTATAATACTACAACCTTCTCGTACAAAGCGGAATTTATAGATACTCGCCGATGTTTTGGAAGCTCTCAAAAACTTTCGAAACATCGTACTCGAGATCGTGCGGTTGGCTAATATTTGCTTGTTGCCACATTCGAAGAGAAGGTTATAAGGCCGACGACCTCAATCTCAACCGCTAGAGGCCGACTAGGTCAATGTTTGCTCAGCATGCATGGCTTGCCGTTTTGTTACTCTACTACTCCTCCCCTTACATGTTTACATGACGTTTTTATTGACGAGACGGATAAGAGAATAGAGATTGCCATGAATCTTTAATGGTTTGCTATTTTGTACAGCTTAGCCTGCGTAGCTGCGCTTTAGAGGATTGGAGAAGGGGGCAGGAAGGAGGAGGAGGGAGCTCCCCCTCTCTCCCCTTCCCTCTCTCTCCAATCCCTTAGAGCGCCGCTACGCAGGCTTATGTACTGCTAGGCTGAGTACTACTTTTCTATACGTTGCTACTCAGTTTTTACGAGCTAGCTGCCTATACATTATAGTCCTGAGGAGGTGATTTGGAGTTACGTGATTAACAGCCAAAAAACTCTTTTACTCTATTCAGTCCTATCTTAGTTGAGAAAACAAATCCTTAATTTAAAASACAACTCTATAAATCAATTAACGCTATTAAAAACCTAATTATACAGCTTCTCATTAATCCCATATAGGTAACTGTCCAATTATTTTCTTAATTGGACAGGTCTTGTTGATATGGGGTTAATTAGGCAGCTATATATTTAATAGGTAATGGRATTTCATGCTCCCCAATCAAGAAATAATTAGACTCAAAAAATTCCTCTGACTGCCAAATAGGACTCGGCCTACGGCCTCATCCAATTTTGTCAGTCCTCGGAATTTTCCTCGTCCAATTATTTCTTAATTGGACAGCATGGAGTCCTATAACATATACTAATAGAATGTAGCGGCGTTTATGGCGGAAGTTTAATGTGATAAACATTTGTTTGAGGTGTGAAAAATAAGTCAAAATTCTCTATTTGCGCATGACCCACAATGCTTTGCACCTTGGAGGTAACCAATCAAAAAAGGCTATATCTCTAAGATCAAACTCCTGAAAAACCATACCCTATTCAGCGCAACACATTCGTATAGGCTATATATGGAATTACCCCCTTCCCCAGGCAGCCCAGAGGGATGGGGGCCGATAGTAAAGTAACTAGGACCAGAAGTTCATAACCAGTAATGGACTTCTGCTTGAACTTGTCAGGTCAATGCCATCCATGAACAATAGTCATCGAAACTAATGCAAGATCGAGGTCATTGCCTTGAATGCAAAGCCCAATAAAACCCCCGCCTAGCTCTCCCCTGGTTAAAAGCCCATCAAAAAAATCCTTATCCAGGGCTTATGAAGTCTTGTATATTGTAAAATCCCGACGACAAATGAGTACTGATAACATAAAGGGTCCCGCCGGACAGGTGTGTCGATCCCAAATTACAAGTACGAAAGAGGGGAGACGTGATTTAGAATAGCTAGAGAACTGAGGGATTCTGTTCAGGTTGTTTCAAATAGTTAGTTGTTGAATTGTTAATGAATATCAAAGGAGGACGTTCGTACACCATGTGACTACTAACATGGATATATTCGCAACATGTAAAACTTTAAAACGGTTACCTTATTTTCCAGCAAGTCCCTAGTAAACCTCTTCTTTTAGCGGCCGTCTTCGCCGAGTAACTCGGCAAGCTGCTCAAGTTTTCCACTTGCACATCGAAACTCATATGAAAGCCGACTTCAGTCTCTCCGCTTATCTAGGACTAATGTCACGGTGAACTTTTATAAGACTAAACCAAAAACTAAAAATTGATCTTGTGATCAATTCTGATTGAGAGCGTTAAATCACGAGAAAGGCTCTAGTCAGAAACAGATGAAACTATGACGCTGTTGAACTGGGAATATTTTAAAAAGAAAATACAAGCCTTTGAGTTTCGTTCCTAGGTATCATTTTCCTGACATGAATTAATTGGATGTTAGAATTTTGAAAAATTAAAATTAAAAATGAATTAAAATAAATAGCACTCAGTTCTAGATTGACGAGCCTTCAAGGCAGAAGTTGACAAGAAATTGCTGAGTTGCACTAGTGACGGGTAATTTCGTGCGGAATGTTCATCAGCTGAATCGCGAGATTTCAATAGACCCCTTGCACTAGGTCCCGAGAGGATTTGTTCTGGGGGACAAAACAATGGTTTATTTTTGCATAAGAAAAGAAGGCCTATTATTTTGTCCCCCAGAACGATTCCTATCGGGACGCAGTGCAAGGGATCTATAGAATTATTTCTGGCTGACAGCACAATGTGGTCAGTGTTTCAGCACCATGTAGAGCAGATGATGAGAATCAAAAACTTTTATCAGCTGAATGAAAGCCAGCGTATTTTTCTTATTCGTAGTTGCCATAAATAGAAGTCTAAATCAGACTTATTTTATTGTTGATGAAGTAATTAGTTAAAATGACTAACCTTTGTAAGCAATTATTCGAATCAATAATTTCTTACCAGGTGTACGTTATCTCAGATGGTTTCGAAATTGGTAGAAAATATCGTATCGTAACTCATTTCCTGCTTGATCTCGTATGATGCTGAAAACTAAAGAAAACCGAAACAGACTTACTGGAAACAAGTTTCGGTTTGGCTTGATCATGGAAGCATGTTGGCCCTGATTAAAACTACGACATATGGGTACTATGACTATGGGTACTAGTACTATGGTACTTCTTCCCTCAACCTTATTCCGTCTCCGATCTAGCTACTTCCTTTGAGTGGTGGCGTATGTTGATGACTACGTGACCACTGCCAAATAAAAAAGCAAATTGCATAACGAGGGACTTTTACTTTAACATTTGAAAAATACCACATTCCAAGGAGTATTGTCAACATTTGAGTGATATTTTGCTGCTATTTTATCAGTTGCTCATTCAATACGTGATTATTTTTCTCTTTGGCAACTTTCCCCAACAGTTATTTTCTCCTGTTTTAAAATTCCTAAAATGGATTTCGAATTCCATGTTTTTTTAGGATGCTCAGGAGTAGCACAAACCCAATATTCACATTTAAAAAAATAAAACTTTTCGTACAATAATTTCAAAAATTATTTGATTTTCTTTTAATCCTGATTCAATAGSTTTAGAATGTTTTTCACAGCAGTAAATAGGCAGTCCCATCACGAAAAATCCAAATGTCACACTGGCTAGTTGTCACTCAAATAGGTATGTACATAGTTTATATCCTGTTCTGTACTGGAAGTTTATTTCCATTTCAATATTCTGTAGTTATCAGGTACACTAGGGTCATCATTCTAAAACAAGACCAATTAAAACATTAGTTCATGACTCTCACACACATCTAAAGTGCCTGTCATTTAATATACRAAACATTGCTGGCACAGATAAAACAAATTTGAAATACCTCATTGTTTCCCCATTGCTGTTATAAAAATTATTGCAAGTTAGTTTTCACACATAACTCGGTGTTTGGAATTACAAGGAATGGAAYGACAAATGACCATGAATGCTTCCTCATATGTCACAGCATTAGAATATGGAATTGAAAAACCTTTACAACTTCAAGAAGCCGGACTCAAACTTTGAAATTTTTTCAGGTTATTTAACATTTTACACCATGTACAATCAATACTGTGAATATTGTCAAAAGGGTGATAGGCACTTAAAGTCATATAAGTCCTTTTGCAATCAGACAATTCACTTCACAACCCATATAGTGCACACTTTGTGTATCAAGATGTAGAACATGGCTTCATGATTCAGTAAAGTTGAAGGGTCTTATTTGAAAAAATGATTCTTTTTAGCCTTGAGTGCTTTATAACTCCACACAGCACATCAAGCATTTTWWAATTTCTTCCATAAAAAAATGAACTACCATTAATTTAGTTAAAAATGATGCAACTCATAGTGTGTGTATGTGCTGTGTGCTCTCATAAAACATGCCCTCCCAACCAATCAGAATGCAAGAATCAGAACAACAGTTTAAATCAAATAGCTTACATCCAGGAATGTATTGGATTGTTTGCCAAAAGTTTTCCTCATACGATCCAAACCCATGGGCATTTTTCTATGCTTTTACATTTTAAATTTCAAGCACTTAGCACATAGAATTGTTGCACATTATAACTGCATGGTCACACTATTACCAGCAGATACAGGTCTATTTGTTTCCTGAAAAAGACCCCTTTCATCAATATTCCCAAATAGGCTCAATTCAGAGAAAACAATAAATTTCTTTTTAGATCAGAGTAAAATGCTATTCTTTGGTGCAAAAATTGAGCTGCATTGGAAAATGCAGCTGGTCTATACAACCAAAGCAGAGCACTGTCCTGCAAACTCCATTAGAATTATTAGATACAATTGACACAAAGACAGCATACAATAATTGATGAATTGCACTAATAGGTCACATGACTTCTACCTCTAAAATCAAGCAGCATCGTCAAAATGACAGCTGTGCCAAGTTTTGGTTCATAATGTCAAATATAGAAGAAAATAATATTTAACACCCGAAATTTTATAACAGGGTTCATACTAAGGTTCCACTTAGAATTCAAGAACTATTCAAGGACCCAAAAATGATTGATTAAGAAACATGTTCAGCTAACTAGCCCATGCATGGTTTTACACGTTCTGTTGGTTGCACATTGGCTGACTTTCCTTGTCGTTTCTAGAACCCCTAATTAAAGGGAAGTAATGTCTTAAGGTGGCTATTTTATTTTGTTTATATTGGATGACTATATCTATTTCAGAAACATGCAAGTAACAATCAAAGCAGAAATTCAAGGATTTTTGCTAGAATCRTAAAATTCAAGAGTTTTTCAAGTGCGCTTGAAAACGTGAATTAAATTCAAGGAGTTTAATTAGTAGCATGAACCTTGTCATCAGGATCTGCATGGGAAAATTTAATTCAAGCTCTAGTGTGTTCCAGCCAGCACATTTTCCCATGCAAATCTTTATAAGAATTTCAGATTTTAAATAAATGTTATTTCTCCTGTCTCATATGTTATGATCTGAAACTTTCCCTTTCTACTAAAATCAAGGTGCTCTTTTCATTTCTTTCGTTCATTTGGATACAACTTCTTGTTTTAAGGGTATACTGTCACTTGAACTCTTAGTGCAAATGCCCTATTTAGTACCTTGGCATGTTTTGCAAATTTTTGTGAAGGAATGTGTCTGTAAGGAGCTACAGGTCTTCTCTGTTGAAAATAATGATTTAAAATATAAGTATTGAGCTGCMGTTGTACTTTTGTAGGCAGCTCTAAATGAAGTTGTGGATTTAACTTTAACCATATAACATGTATTATGCTTTATATAAGTTTACTAGTTTCAGCGGTCTCACAGTGATATATGAAAAATTATTAGCATATTATTATTGACTAGTATTTTTCACAGTTACTAAAAATAGATACCACGAAGCCTTGTGGGATAAAATGCAGACAAACATTGCATACAAAGACTTAAATATTACAGTTTTTCCATGAGATGGGAACACGAAGACTATGAAACATTTTTGCAGCATGTTAGCATATGCATGCTTAGCTTGGCTTGTCCGCATTTCAATCCCATGGTGCACAATTGTGACATTATCCGTTGAAAGCGCTCTCAGGGCTGGATGTTATCTTCTATTATCATATGACCCCTACGGCCCTGCTCGCGCGCTCTAATAAAACCATTGGAGAAAGTCACGTGATGGGTCATATGATAAAATGCTTATTGACTGAGTTAGGTTGGGCCGTACGACATGACCTCGAGCCAAATATTTTCCTGTCCGGCCCTTCCACTCAGTCAATGAGTACGTAGTATTTGAATGGCCTAGTTAGCTGTACTCCCCCCAACCTGCAGTTGCTCTCCTAGCCATTATTTTTCCATCCTTCCTTGTGCTGTGTGGTTGTTTGGTGAGCTCCGCTCAAATATGAGTACAGTGAGACCAATGAAAATAGAACACTATGTATTAATATGGGTAGTTTAATCTTTTACCTCTAACTGCAAGCCTTTATAAGCTATAGGAAGACTAACTGCAAACAAGGCAACAAAAGCAAAAGCGGTGTTTCTTCTCCAGTTTCTGGGGTTGCACCACCAACCACCGGACGGTGACCACACGTATTTTGGATATTCGAAATGTTTTCCGCCACCCTGAGATGAATGAGTCAATAAAGAACCCTTCAGTAACTTAATATTTACGGAAATAGTCTGATAAATAAAAGAAAACCACTAAAATATAACGAATAAACTCACCATTTTGGAAAATAGTAGGACGAGTGACAAGGATTGTGGGTAATTTATTATCGCTGTGCTACATGGGAACTCAACACAGGAAGACCAATAAAAATATAGACTTGCAAAAAATCCGTTAGTTTTTTTTAGGTGATGTAAGTGTTTCATTGTAAAAAAAAGTCCTGTATTTTTCCTTTTTCTTTTCTTTTTTTTTAATTCGTTTATTCGTTTATTTATTTGCAATATTTTTTAATATTAAAATATTTTCGGTCCTTACTTCACCCAGAGTGCTTTGAGGGATTAAATAATTCAAAATGGCGGACGAAGTGAGTCGTAAACGTGTTGCAGATAAAGAAGAGGAAGATGATGATCTTATTGGCCCTATGCCGGCTCAGGAGCCTAAACCAAAGAAAAAGAAAGGTATTTCCTGAAGGCTCCTTCGGATTTTAATTTTAAGAAACGAAAGTCAAGCTTTTAATAGTAGTATTGTTTGCTGCATTGAAAGGGTTGAAAGATATTGACAGACTGTTTTTAAAACTCGTTGCCTTCATTTGTTTCACAGTTCTGGAATTTGAACACGTTTACCTAAAAAATCTCCCAAGTGCTGAGGCATATGAGAAAAGCTACATGCACAGAGATGTTATCACCCACATAGTAACCACCAGGTAAAGTTTTGCGAATTATTGTGGATTAAAAATTCTGACAGCTTTTTTGTTTGATGCCACTGCATGTTCATTATTAGACTACAAACACTATATCATATGCATGAAGCATATGAAAACATGCAAACCATATATTTATGGAATAGTGCTAACTAATTTGTACAAAATAGCACCAAAGAAACAATTGAAAAAGAAAGAAATTTATGTGTTTAGTGCTATTTAGTTTTTGTGCTATTCCATGGATACAGTGTAAATGGTTCGCACTCTACTATATAACTAGTAAAGGATTGGACATTGATTAGCGTGCATCCATTGAGCTTTGGTTGCACCTGGGAGGCTGCTTATCATGAAGGAAGCGAAAGAGTCTAAGGCTAGAAAAAAATTTGGCCTGCCACTGATTTTTATTATTGACCGGTGAAACAAATTTGGACCTGTTATTTATTTTATGGCATACCACATAGATCTTTTCTGAGATAGTGAACATGGTGCATTGTGGTCTAGTTTCAGTACAAACATYTTGGGGTCATCATTCCTTATATGGTGTTGTTTGTAACGAAGCTAGACCACAATGCATCCTGTTTATGAACTCAGAAAAGGCCTATGAAATGGACAAGACCACCACCACCATCATCTTTATCTTTCATTATTATTCATTATCATTATTCATTACATAGTACTGACTTCGTAATAACTGCAAGCTGTGATGGTCATATCAAGTTTTGGAAGAAACAAGAGGAAGGCATTGAGTTCGTTAAGCATTTTAAAACCCATCTTGGTAAGTGATGATGACATGAGTTTTAACCTTGAAGGAAACAAATTAATATAATATGTTAACTAACAACTAGTATTGCTAATGATCAATGAGCATGCTTCAGAAATTATCATTGCTTCCCTAATGAAGTCAAATTTAAATTGCATTGCAACTTACAGGTCATGTCTCATGTAAACAGGTCTACAAACAAAGCAGAATTCTGTCCTGTCCATGCATTAAGATAGCATCAAGCAGTTTTCATTTGACTGTGAAAAGCTCAGTGTCATAAGAGTGCCATGCCATGGCCGCGATTGGCTGATTTTTTCTTGCACAATACTGTGATTGGCCTGACAAAGCTGTGACCTTGGTCATGCTGTGTCCACCCCATATTTGTCCTGTGTTCTGGGTATTTGATTGGATCATAGAGAGTAAATTTTTTGGCATTGTGATTGGTTTGATGTATGCCTTGCCATGTCATGGCTATATTCATGCCGTGAGCTTTTTTACAGTCATAAGAAAACTGCTTCACTGTACAATGATAGCTGAATAGTACAGTACACTATACAGTAGCTGTGAGGATTAAATCTTAGGGCTGATATGCGTAGAATTGCTATCTAAAAATACATTGAGTAATTTATTTTCGGTTTAAAAAAATTTCCATAGGTGTTATACACTGTATTTCTGTGAGTCTTGATGGACAGTTATTATGCTCTACTGCTGATGACAAATCAATGAAAGTGTTTGATGTGGTTAATTTTGGTAAGTATGTAACTGGGTGAATGAATGACATAGATGATAAGTTTAGCCCCACCTGGCTGGCTCAGCTGGTTGAGCAACTACTGTAGGTTGTGGGTTAAAACCCCAGCTTGACTGACATTCAGGGTTTTGAAAATGATTAAGGAGAAGCTAGGTGATACTTTGATGATCAGATAATGAAGTCATATTTTACATTATTTAACAGATATGATAAACATGTTAAAGTTGAGCTACATTCCAGGGAAGTGTGAATGGGTTTTCCCAAGAGGAGCTGCTATTGCAGCTATAGCATGGTAAGGACTGGTTGTATGAGTAGAAAAGATTAATTTAGAACCTTATTGGAGTATTAATTTCCTCTCCCTTCATTTTACCATTAACTGTCTTTTTTATATGCACTGAATAAAGACAAAATTCACAACAGAAAAATTAGCAATGCATGGTTCCACTTTCAGTAGATACTGTACCGTCGCTGTGTCCCACAAGCTCAAATAATTATTGGCTAGAATATCTCAGAATCTAAAACTTAGATCATGGAAAATTGATTACACATTCAACGTCCAAGATCCTCCAAGCTTCTGAATGTTAATTGCCCCCAAGTGAAAACAGTAACCTATTGTCAGAGGGGGAACCATGAATAGGCAGACCACCATCAATCAAAAAATACAAGTAGTGTAATTATTACAGTACATACGTATACTGTATACTCTTCCATTTTGTTGATGGATGGTAGATTGTTGCGACATCACTTTTGCTTACACGTAAGTCAATCAACACATAGCAATGAAAACAGTTAGTAGGGTATGGTAAGAGCTATTACCATGTTTCAAGGTTTACATAAATTCCAAGTCTTTTAGCATCTGCCAAGCAAATTATACCCAATTTAAATATCCAATGTGTAAGAGAAGCTAAAGTCTTTGTTAACTGTTCTAGCTTATAATCATTATTACAGTATTTAGTTAACTGTTATCCTTGTTCACAGTGCAGAGGAACAGAGTGGTGTTATACATATCTATGATGGACGAGGTACRAGTGAACCACTACAAACACTCAAGCTTCATTCAACAAGTGTATCTGTGATCAGGGTCAGTGATTATGTTCAATATACTTATTAATGACAGTTGGGCATGCTAACTGCAACCACTTGAACAAAATTTAAAATAAACACTTTAGCCAATCAGAAGATTGAAGGAAGGAAGAATGTTGGTATGATAATTTAACAAATATTGGCTTGTTCTTTTGCAGTATAATCCAGTATTTGACATAGCTATATCAGCAGATAAAGCAGGCATTCTGGAGTACTGGACTGGTCTCAAGAAAGACTGTAAATTTCCTGACAATTTGAATTTTAAGTTCAAAACAGACACAGACCTTTTTGAGTTTGTAATGGTAAGTTAAAGGTAACTGCCAAATGTTTTATCAATAATGATGAGCACTGGAAGTTAAAGGTTCAAGCTTTATAGCCAGAAAGAACACTTATAATATACACCTACTTGCAAGAAGATCGCCATACAAGAATAGAACATTAGTAATTTAGTAAGAAAGGAATATATTAAAAGACAAAAGAAAAAGTTCAGCTTCAGTGATCTTCTTTTGTTTTTTAATATAATTTCTATCCCACTAAATCACTAATGTTCTTCTTTTGTACGACAACATTTAATTCTTGCAAGTAGGTGTACCTGTGGGTAGAAGTTTAAAGATGCAATATGTAAATGCTTAGACCTAATATGCTGTGGCTTGGATGACAATCATTAGTTTGTAAAGTATGGTTCACACTCATTTAGCTCAACATCAAGCATAAGTTAGTGGGATTGCCATCGATAGCTTTTTCATTTGTAACATAATTATAATTTATTAATAATATCATTGTGCTACGTTTTATCTGTTTTAGTGTAAAACATATCCAGTGTCTTTGTCCTTCTCGCCAAATGGTAAACTGTTTGCCACCACAGCTTCTGATAGAAAGGTAAACATTTCTTAGTTGTGGGCCATGCATCAAGATGCATTTATCATGATCAATTTGAATGTAGTTTTGTCAGCTAAGCATTAATCCAATAGCAGCTCACTAACATGTAATGTCAAAACTAAATGTGGTATAACTTAATGTCTTTTTTTAGAATACACAGGATTCGTGCTACAGTACTCCTTAAACTCCTTGAAAACTCCTTGAATTTAATTCACGTTTTCAATGGCACTTGAAAAGCTCTTGAATTTTATGATTTTAGCGAAACTCCTTGAAAACTCCTTGAATTTTTGCTTTGATCATTACTTGCATGGTTCTGAAATAGATCTAGTCAGAAAGATAGGAAAATCTGCAGTCAGCCATGTGCAACCACCGYGTAAAACCTTGGCATATTTAGCTAGACATACTCCTTGAAAATTCATTTTTGGGTCCTTGTATACTCCATGAATAGTCCTTGAATTTTAAGTGGTTACCTCGGCATGAACCCAGAATTCATGTATTTTGTTAAATCCCTCATATAGCTAGGGTCTCTGTCTTGTTATAGAGTTTATATCCAGTTTGATAGCACTAGATTTCACCCTCTGAAAAACCTAACATACTAACATGGATTTAATTTTCAAGTTTGCCATGTCACAGCTTGTCTCGGAAACAATTTTATACAATTATAAATACAGTTAATAATTACAAAATAATTTAAAAATAAAAAATGCTCTTGAGGAAAATAAATGCTAAGAAATTTGTGAAGTCAACACCCTGGGCTGATCAAAGCTAGGACACTGCTACATGTACATGTAACTCACTAACCAAATAATATTGGAATTAAGTGTGTTAGGTTTCTTTGGAGGGAGATCAACTAGATAATCCAGATTCAAAAGCTCTAGAATCAAGGGAGAGACCAACATGCTAGAACACTCCTGAGATCATACAGACAAATGATGAATGACTCACTCAACATGTGTAGTCCAAATTTTAAACAGAAATCAATTTACTTATTGAAGTTTTAATAATGTAATAATAATGTTTCTGATCATGAAAAACTATCATTCTGTAGATAAGAGTATTCAGGTTTTTGACTGGCAAGAAAAGCCTGGTCTTTGATGAGTCATTAAAAGTATTTACAGAAATGCAACAGGTAAGTGTTAAATGAGCTAGAACCAATTATACATTGTATATATATRACCTGACAGCCTGAATATTTGAAAGTTGACCTGCACTGGGTACATTGTAGCTGAGGTTCATATACTTGAAAGGCCTTTCAACCCTTTTACTTCTCTGGAATTTCTCCAGCATAGAGAAATAACATCTCTAAAAATAGCTTATCCTCCCACTTATTCTGAAACTTGGTCAATAAGCTTATTTTATTTAATTACTCTTCATGTAATGGGTAAAGCTTGATAAGGCTATTTTTCCTGGATCCACAACCAAATTGTTGTTTATTCTCTTACACAGTCTCTGTTGCTTGATCAGTGATATGGAAAAGGTTAATATCCTAAATGCATGACTGTACACATCAAATACATATATTATATTATTTTTATTTTTTAGCAAAAGCAACAATTACCTGACATGGAGTTTGGAAGAAGAGTTGCCATTGAAAGAGACCTTGAAAAATCTGATGCATTAAAATACTCCAATGTTGGTAAGCACTAGCTGCTGCTGAATGAACTATGAATGAAGAATTGTCAGAAATGATATTTTTTAATCTGTAGCTTGTCATGCAAATTAAAGAAGTCTGAACATTCCCCCATTATTAATCAGCTTTTAGGTACCCTTCCTTCATCAATCGCTTTCTATACACTGATTCATTATTTTGCAAGTTATTTCCAAATTATTGTTCTAATTTTTACTTTGCAATCTAGAATTGATTCTTTAATCTGTATCTTTTTTTACAAAATGATTGAATTTTTCTAGTAATAATAATGATGATAATTATTGAGAATACCTACGTCACCTGTAATGGTGGTAACAATTATAGAARGGTCCTCACAAAAATATATAAAAATAAGAACACATATATGAACTATGAATATTGAATAATATATGAAATATATATTAAAAATAGAAATGCTAAAATGTATATGCATAGGTGTATAAAAATATCTGTGTATACCAGGTGATCTCGCGCACACACTTCTGGTTACTATTAACCAATCAGAAGCATTTTTGTTGTATTGCTAAAAGTTCCATATATCATGAATTTCAAAATGGAGTCGTATTCCAAGTAATAACCTTTTTAAAATATGTCCTAAAATATAACTTGATATTGAAAAATTCTAAATTACATGTACCAGAAAAGCTTCCTCTTGTCCTATCAGCAATTAAAATGAATAAAAACAAAGCATACGTGCAACAGGAGATATTATGGAATAGGAGACTGGGTATTAAGAACTGTTGGATTTGACAAATAATCCTTTGCACCCTTCTAGGTGAGATCACCTGGTTAGTAGAAATAAGAAAAGAATATAAAAAATAATATAATATATAATACAAATCATATATTCAAATCTCTCCTAATTTWAAAATGATTAGTATCTATTTTTCCTGTATTTCTTCCTGTTGTGCTTTAATTTTACCATCCCACCCCAGTTTACTCTCTTTACCTCTGATCATATTTCTTACAGTCATACTCATAATTGCATTTCCCTTTTAGTTTGTAGTAAAAAAAATGATTTTTCTMATTTTTCAGTATTTGATGAGAGTGGTTATTTTTTACTCTACGGTACGATGCTTGGCATAAAAGGTAATTATCTATGACTAGGTCATACAGTCAATGTCACTAAGGTTGTCCACCGAAAAATGACATTTACATRTTTACACATTTACATGTTTCCTCRAACGTTCTGGCATAAAACAAATGCTGAAATACCATTCTCCATCTTAAATCCTCACTAAATGGTCAGGGCATTCTGGATTTTCGATTAACGAGTTGAATTTTACATTTCAAGTTCAGGCTGACGCACATGAGGCAAAGAATACATAATGAAACACGTGATATTTCTTTTAGTCTAAATGTCTAAATGAGTAAACGTGTAAATGTGAAAATGTCTGTTTTTGGTGGACAACCTTAATGACATTGACTGTTTGTTTCCATAATAACCCTTAAAAATAGTCAGCCAGCCAATCAGAATGCAGGAATGCCACTCTTGATTCCCATCATGCTCAGAAATATTCAGTATGGTGGGTTATGTTTGTCATGATTCAGCATTTATTTTAGAATTTTTATTCTTTTAATATCATCAATTCTGATTTTATTTCATATTTCTACGGCATACAATTAAACTATTTTTTAACTTATAAAAGCCTTTTGAAGATATATAATAGAGTATTGAAAGTTAGCATTGAATTGTAATTTTGAAATGTTCAAAAAGTTTGATTCCTAATAGTTAAAGTAAAAAAAAAGCATAAGTGGAAATAATCATTCTCGGCTTTCAATTGAAAAAAAAGACGTAAGTTGTAATAATATGTTCGTTTGTTGTTTTAGTTGTKAATCTTCATACCAACAGATGTGTCAGGGTGATAGGAAAGGTAAAGTATTTATATCAACACTAAAACTGATTCCAAGTAGGGAACCATTCAGCTTTCAACACAGGGAACCCGATTGAGATCAATGATCAATGAAAATAATATCATGGATAAAAACTTGACTTTGTACTTCATGGCCCAGATGGTGTAAGGCATAATATGAGGCAACAGGGAAAAGAAACGAAAATATACAATTTATTATTGGTGGGGTGTAAAAGTACGACAGATGTTCACCTTTCACCACTGTGAGTCGTACATGGATTGAGTCCTTGTTAAGGTTACTGTGGGCACTACCTGTGAAATAGAGGATATTACATGGGCCTGCGGAGATACGAATTTTATCTTCGAGTGTTGAAAAGATCTCTCACGAGTGAGCGTAGTGAACGAGTGAGAGATTTTCAACATGAGAAGATAAAATTCCTATCTCCGCACGCCCATATAATATTCTGTTTATTATATTTATATCATTATCAATGAAGTATGTTTTGGCTTTTTCAAGCAATTCTTTCCGTGTATTTTTGAATAGCCATCGCAATGGTGTTATTTTCACA